TGTGTGTGTGTTTCTGTTCTGTGTCCTGTTTGTTTGTATATGTGTCTTTCTGGCTGCTGTTACAACCAAATTTCCCCCTGTGGGACAATTAAAGGATTATTCTATTCTAAAAGCATCAGTATCGGTTTAAAATGTTCCGGTTGACTGTACAAAAGAGTACAAAACAGCTGTTTGGTATATGGGTTGACAATGGTGCCAAATAACTCAGTTAGCATTTCTCATTCACTGTTATTTTTCCTGATACAACAAGTCTGCCTTTGTTCTTTCTCCCAGAAGAACAAAAAGCTTCAGTCAAAAGTCAGTCAGTATGTGTGTGCGCTGAGGACACAATAACCATACTGTGCAACCTACTGAGCAAGTTGCAAGCTGGCCGAGCGTGTGAGGAGACATGTTGCTGCTGCGCTTTCATTTTTTTTTTTTTTTTTTTGTTTTTGTAATGTTGGCAAATGTTTGTTTAATATCTATGATATCACCCTGCAAGTATTTGAAATCAGATTGCATAAGAATATAATGCAACTTATGGGAACATTCTCCCCCAGCTCCCCGGCACGAGCTCTGCATCACCTCAAGCACTTACTTACGTGTTTCGGGATTAGATTAGCCACAAAAACTGCAGCAACAACAATGCTGCTCTCTTTTATTAGTTTTAACAAGTCACCAAACCACATCCGTGGTCTTCTAACATTCCAAGGTTGCCATTCCCAAGCTGTCAAGGTCAAAAGTCAATGTGACTGTGAAGGAGTCTTAATTGCATGTGCAAATTTTCCACCCACAGGGAACAAGCTTGCTCACGAGGTACGCTGAGCTGAGGGACACTCTTTGTTCTGCCACAGCTTTCACTAAGATGGACTTTGCAAAGATCCTATTTTTCAGCAGCTTTCTCCCCAAATCTTTACCTAATCTCAATTTAGTGAAGCAGTATTACAAAATCAAACACAATAAGTAAAGACCATCTTTTGTATCTATCCATCTATTGATACAGTTTTTGAGAGAGGCACAAATTACAGTCAGAAACTGATCACATAGGTTCTTCTTTGAGCAAGGAGACAGCAAATGTTCTACTGACTCAAAACAAATGATTTAGTCATGTCATGTCAAAAACTTTACACATTAAACCACTAAATGACTGCATGGACATATCAGTAGTTTTATGTAGTGAACATGCTTTTTCCCAAACACAAGCTGAAGTCTATCCTGGAAAGTTGTCCTTGACAATAAGACCAAAGTCGCTTTGGAGTCTTGCTTCACACCTGAGCCAAGCTGTGCAATATTACATCATATGAAATTAAGATTCCCTCTATATGCCCATTTTTGTCTGCATCACTTGATTGGGTATTTTAATGTAGTAATAGAAGTTTCAAAAGCGGTAAAGTTGTTCCCCTAATTAATAAAGCACACCCCTACCCCCTCACCAACTCAGCACACACACACACTGACTGACTGATGAGAAAAACAGACGCTCTTATGTCTGTACTCCAGCCCACTTCCAAACCAAGCCAGCTATGACCTCAGAGGAAGAGAAGAGAAGAGAAGAGAAGAGAAGAGAAGAGAAGAGAAGAGAAGAGAAGAGAAGAGAAGAGAAGAGAAGAGAAGAGAAGAGACGTGAAAGGGCGGGAAAGGGGCCATCATGAAGGGCAATGGGGCGCAAGGTGGGAGAGAGTGAGAACAAGAAAAGAAAAGCCTAGAGCAATGATGTCATAATCTGAAACATCAACTCTTTAAAGTAATTAACAGTGGGAAATGAAATCTCAGCATCGTAGCCACAGCCAGTAACTCAACAAATAAACATCTGTTTTCAAAGTATTTAAAGAAATGGCAGTCTGGAAACACAGGCACATGCACACAATGTACTGTAAGCCTGAGCCAGTAACAATAGAGAAGGTTTGTCTTGGCCTGCCAGCGCCCCTGTAATACCTCCAAACATGCTAAGCTCTACCATTTCAAGATCAACATCACAGAAGCAGATGATTGCGTATCCATGCTCTCCCCTCACCAGGCTAAACTCTGCAACAGCAGAGTGCTGCATTACACAGGAAACACTTGAACACAGCATACACGTTTCTCCTGTGCTGTAGATTCTGAAGAGATATTCTTTGATGGTTTTTGCTTCTATTTATTTTTTTATTTTATTTTTTAAGGGAATGCATATTATTGTGCTAGTCCTTTATTATAAAATAAAGAAGTACAGAAGTAAATCTATGAGAATATATTTATGGGCCCCAGAATCACCGATCATTTTTCATATTTTTTATTAATTTTGCCATCCGTCCTCACTCTATATATTCAGTTGATGTGTAACAATCTTTACCACTTTAAATTCATTATTCTGACCTTCACCTCTAGCAACTCTGCTTTATTTCTCCTATTTTAAATCTTGTAGTAAAACACACCTCGTTCACAAACTGAAGCGATATCTCATCTTCATTTTTCTCCCTCTGTGTCTCTCTGACAGCGGGTTCTTGTGAGCTCATAGGTCATTTATTCCTTCCATCTTTGCCAGTCGCTGAGATATGAGAGGGTTTTTTATTTTATTTTGCACACTGCTGATAAACTGGGTATGAAGAATAAGATATAAAAAAACAGATGAAATGCTGGGAGGATTCACAAGGATTAAGCTCTCCATCAACCATTACTTTGTGTCCCTTTCTCTCCCCAATGTATGCCACACATACACCAGCAACTCCCAGGTAAAGCTTATCGACAAATTTATAACTACTTAAGTCAAGTCTTGTAATTGCCTGTCTACTGTACCTAGGATTTAAATGGCTACTTTATGGATAATGTCTTTTTATTTCACATGACATATACTTCTTCTGCTCCTCTCAGCTTCACAATTCCTTACTTTTGGCTCAAAGATGACCTGGCCTTCCAGTTCTATTTTTAGCTTGTCTCCCAGTCTACCACTACGTTTGCACTAGACTGGGGAGCTTGGAGACGTCCCCGCAGCACACGGCGCTCATTTCCTCTCTCCAAACATGGGCATAATAAGTCTAGTCAGACGTGATACTCATATAGTGACCACACAGCGACCCCAGTGGTGCACACATTCTTCCGTCTGCACTGCAGAGACACATGGAGGTTTATGGGAAGGGTTTCAGGAAATCTGACTAAGAGAGAGGAAGTAACGGAATAAAGCCAAGTATTTGTCTGGCTTGTAAGAGTCCTACAGACTGGTATGGTGTGACCTAAGTGATGTATCCTGAGTAAAAAATGTTGCATGCTAAGCCAAAGAGGCACAGAGAGCACACATACTTTCAATTAAGTTGTACAAGTGTGTGCATATGTCAATGAAAACAGCTTCATCAGAAGCTCCACTACTTTACGCACAGTCTAGAGTACCTAGTTTCGCAGCAGTCCCTTATTAATAACATGCATAAAACAATGTTGCTGAGTCATGGTTTTATATGAACTCTTCTAAGCACTTAAATCTCCAGATGACCCAGATTCATTCAGAAAAAAAGTATCAGAAAGAATGAAAGCGAAAATTTAGTGCATTTTGAAAAAGAGGTAAGATACAAATGAATGTTGCAAAGGAAATGAGACGGGAAAAGTCTTGGTCCTCATATTTATGGATTCAGGCAGCCTACAGAGAATTACTGTAATCCTTTCAAAGCAAGCAGCAAGGTCCTTTAATTGGAGCTGTTTAACAGTAGAGGACTGAAACATGTCACTAAAGACTAACCCCCTAAAATACACCTGCTTTGTGTCTGTGTAATCTGATGTCTCCAATGCTATTTTGTCCCTCATACAGTTTAAATGAGCATTTCAGATAAAAGCGTGTAGTCTGGATGAGGTCTTTTATTTTGAATGTTGACCGGATTCTCTTTGCTGTTCTCGTGCCTAACGTCCTGCCCTCCTTACCTACTCTGTAAAAAGAGTTACAATTAAACTGGAGTAATGATCATGATAAGACAAATTTAATACAGATATTTGAATGTGCAGTACTTTGTAGAAGTCTTGAGTCACACTTCTTTTTATAGTTTGC